GTTTCAATTCCCTTTATCGATTTTTAACATTAATAAACAGTAAAATGCATCAATGTTTAAATGATTAATATGATTCATTGTCTTGAAGCACAAACATTAATCAACTTTTATCGTGATATTTCCTAAAGGCCTTGAGGAAAACCCAGTCAGTGATCCTATAAACAAAGCTATTAAGTCTCATTATTTTGCTTAACTAATTGATTTGATTTGATTCCCTGCTTTTTAAAATGGTATAAATTAGTTTGTTCCTTTTTTAAATTAAAGTTTTATTAGAAAAACATATTAGCAAAATGAATTAAAGCTGTGACAGCTCCTCCAGTGATTCCACGATTCCTAAAATCCATCAGACTAATTTTCTTCCTGGAGGCTTCGTTTAATATTACATTACACTGTTTTCTGTTTATCAATTATCAATCATCAATCTAGGAGAGTTCAGTTTAATTTATGCAGAGCTGTGATTTTTCAGATTACATCGTAAAGGTGCACTACTATATGCACATTCTTATGACCATTAGCTAGCACTGCGTTAATGTAAAGTCAACCAAGTTCTGAGCTTTTAAAATGTTGATGTTCTTTGGCTACGGATGGATCCTTTCTTATTTTTCCTATTTGAAAATGATTTTTTTTTATATATATATATATATTTTTCTATTACACATTAAATAAGCCTTTTTTGTCAGATTAGTTGATTAATAATAAGAATTAATGATTAATAAAATAATTGCTTAAGTACTGCTGCCACAAATATCCTCTCTACTAACATTCATATATTTTACAGAGCTGTGTCCTGCAGAGGATAGTGAGGGGAGCTCAAAGGGTCGTTTTTTTGCCAGGATAAAGGATGCTATTATTTATTGAGCTGTACATGTTATTTCCCAGGCTAAATGGAGGACATTCCTGCTGAACTTATTGTTTTTTTTTTCCAAATATACAATAGTTCTATATGTGCTTATCTTTGCTATACCCGAAAAAAAAAACACTTTTTTTCCTGCAGAGGGCGCTCTAATACATTTAGTAATTGATCAATATACTTTAGAGACCGACTCCAACCTGAGAGAAACAAACTTTTTCTCCTTAGTCTCAGCGCTCAGATTCTTCTGAGACTGTGATATGAAGATGCTATAATGAGCATAAAACAAATGTGTCGCCTTAATGTTTCCAAACCAGAGATCCAAAAGTCAGAAAGGGATTTTTTTGTGTTGATTTCTACCCAGAAAATCAGAGCTGTTCACTAAAGCCTGACATCAAAACCAGTTGAACCTCCATGTTTTTTAAAACTTCTCCAAAAGTCACTGATCTTTGTGTTTGTGTGGCAGACATCCTGGAGGTGAGGCAGAAGCCCATCCTGATGACATAACGGAGCCGGACTTCCCCTCAGAGCATCTTTACAAAGTGCCTCCACCATCAGGCCACTGAAACAACAGCAGCGCCCCCAGCTGCCCGGGCGCAGACCTGCAGCCAATCACCCGCTTCACCCGAGACGCTCAGGAGACGACCGAGGCGCAGAGACGCTCCGCAGACAAACCAGCCATCCAGGAAGTGCCTCCTCTTCTTTTTTCAACGCCCTGCCAAGTCCGAGGTCGTCTCCGTGGAAACGGGCCTGGCGTCAGGACCACTTGACCTCAGCGTGAAGAGGCTTTGGTCGAACTCTGAACAGGAGGAAGAGGGAAATTAATGTTTGTTTTCCTGTAAATATCTGCTGCTTTCCTCACTGAGACGCCTTGACTAAAGGTTGTGCTTTTAAAGACCGTCGTCCGTTTTTTCGACCGACGCGTCGCAGAGTTGCTCTTTTTCTAATATTCTGCACCATTTAAAGGGAGCAGGAGATTAAAGTTTGATGTTTTCTTCAACGCAGACAGAAAACCTCCACATTCACAGCCGGAACCAACTTTCCAACATTTTCTCTGTCGTCAAAAATAACCAACATGTTCAACTTTAATCTGATGGGAGCGGAAAATGTAAATTTGAATAAATTTACATGAAGGAAATGATTTGTAAGAATCTTATTCCCAGAAGATCTTTTTTTGTTCATATTTGTATCACTAACAAACCAACAGGTTTTCTTAAACTTTATTAACATCATAAAAAAGTAAGTCTGCAGAACATTACTGGTATTTAATCTCATTATTTCACCGCACTAAAATTAATATTGAATTTGACTTTTTATTAAATTAGTAAATTCGGTCTATTTCCAGCACTGTTTTGTCTTATTTTAGTTAACCTGCTTAAAACAAAATGTTTTAGTTACTTTGTGTGTAGAAAACTAAGGTTTTGTTACAAGGAAATTTTTTTTTGATGTTGTTTTTTCTTTAATGTAAGGTTACATTTTTTGCAAATAAGTCGTTACATTCTAAACCCTCAAAGTGAATAAATAAATAAATGATTCAGTTAATTAAAGTTAAAAGTATAAAATCATTTCCCTTCATCATCACATTCAGTTTTAGTTTTAATTTTGAGTCTTTTCGACTTTATGTAACTGACTTCATTTCCCTACTGGACCTTTATTTAAAATAAAATCCCCTTTAAGAATTTTTTTTTTTGTTTTTTTTTTTAAAGAGGAAAAACTCCAGAACAAAAGGGATGAACTTTTTGATGTAAAAAAAAAGCGAATATTTTCTCCCTTTGTGCTCCTAAAGCCTTAAATCTGTTTCTCCACTTCCATCCAAACCACCAGAGTGAAGCTTTAAGCTGTTCCTCCTGCAGCTTCTGTGCTAAAAAGACCTTTTTCTCGTCATGTTTTCCTGACCTGCCGATCACTTGATGCATCAGCTGTCTGTCAGCTGTTATTGATCAGATCCTGTCAGTAATTTTCATCGATCAAAGTGTTTGTTTTCATCAGTGTTGTCGTAGCTGTAAAGTTCTCCACAGGACGTGTTTTTCCTCAGTTCGGGAAATCCGATCACTCGTCTCTTTGGTGTTTATTGATGATGTTTGTAGAGCCTCCAGCTGAATGTACCCTCGCCGATCAATAACAAAGACTGCTTTAACTGAGATGACGGTTTTGCACTGTAAAACGCTTTTAGCGCCTTTCTGAAAGCTGTTTGGATGTTTCGTTGACGTGTTCATACATCACAGCTTTTGTACACTCGGTTACTGTGCATGTTGGCGATCTTCTTTTGTTGCTCACTTTAAAAACATTTTCTCATATTTATTTATTGAAATACACATTAGCAGAAAATTGACTTTGGCTCTTCTTTTTGTCTTTTCTTTGTTTTATTTCTTTGTCATGTAAAGGCATTTATCAGAAAAAATGTCAA